AAAAAATTTCAAAAGCAGAGAGTATTGAAGAAAAGGTTGAGTAAATACAGTGCAAGCTTTCAATACGACAGTGAACTTGGATGGTCATTTAGCTTTCTGAAAAACACAACCCCCCTGCTCCGCTCAGAGGATTAAGGAGAAACGAAGCCACAGGAGAATGCAAGCTTATCTGTCACAGTTTGCCTAACAGTATCTTCTACAATAAGACACTGCACTGTGGGTTGAAACCAGAATTGCTCTCCTCCAATTAAGTGTTGTTTTGAGAAAACTTAAATAAATAAAACATAAATAAAACTTAAATAAGTAAAATTCTTCAAGGAATTCCCTTCTGAACAAGAACTAATTTATTGAATTTCACCTTATCCTTCTTTCCATTTAATCCCAAGTTAAGCATTTGCAGCAAGAGGCAGACTCTCTTATTCACCTCAGACTTTTACCCAATTAAGAGAGAAGGAAAATGCTACTCTCTTCAGTCAGTACCACTCCACTACAGTGGCATGAACCTGACAGGGAAAGGTAAAGGTACTTGTATATTAAACAGTAGAAACAGCAGCAAATAAAGAATTGAGATCTAGAGATTACTCAAAGTGTATCTGTATATGAATGACATCCCAGAAGACACTGAGTAAAATCAAAAGTTCAATGGATGCTGTCCTCTTAAAGAGCCTCTTTCCAACACAAGTCACACGAAGATCAATACTGGTTTTCTCATCTCCCCAGAAGACTAGTGAAGTGTAAAACAGTAAAACTATGAATCTGAGGAAACAAACTTTTAATGCCTGAAGCTCTAGGAAATCCACTAAGAATTCTGAAAATCTTCCTGTGAGGAAACCAGTTGAAAACTGGTGATGAAAGCAACAGCAGCCTCTTGGTGGTGTTGTAACTGTAAAAGAAGTAAGCAAAGCGCCCTTTCTGTGGTAATTTATTTGTTGTCCTTATCAGAGAAGCTCTCTATAATGCCTTATTCCAGTTCTCGTTCTTCTGTTTGAGGAATGGGTTATTATTGCACCAGGTGAGCTGCAGACTGAAGTGGATGAACTCCAAGAGGTTGGACACAGTTTCAAATTTGCTTTTCCAACACCTCTTCCCAATAGAAGTGCATTTCAGCAAGTATTTTTATGAGCTACCCTAACACAAATAAAATACAGGAAAAAGGAAATATATGCAGGAGGAATCTAAAAAGAAGCAGGCAAAAGCAAAGTCAGACCGTACACACAATAGTAAGCCTGAAAGTAATAAAAGAAACACATGAAGGAGCTACTGTGTTAAAAAACAAAAAAGGTAAAAACCCACACCCAAAACCCTCATTCAACCAACAAAATAAATGGTGTATCAAGACAAATGTAACAGTCCAAAGGTGTTAAGTAACCAATGAAGCTATATATAGTTCTGTCTTAACTCAAAAACGATCAGTTACAATAGCACTAGCAAACCTATTCCTGTAGGTGGCCTGAGAAGTAGAACTCCTGTTGTGCGTGAAGCGAATGATGTGTTGTTACTGCTGTGAAGTATTTTGAGAGAACGTTCTTCAAATTCCATTTTATACCATTACGGTACCTCTTCAACATCATATTTGATACATAACAGCATCTGTATAATACTTTAAAAATCTAAAGCTACTTCCCATGCTAGCACTCAGAAGTACCACATTAGTGCTTAAGAGATTTCTGCATACCTTTGTTTTCCTTTCTCATCCATATTTTGATCTTGTATAAGGTCTCGACGTGTTCGCTCTTTGGAGGTAGCAACAACAGAAGATGGCAACGCTGGCTACAACAACAAAAACAAGCTACTTTGTTCATGTTCCAGACAAGTAAGTTTCTTCCTGAACAGTTCCATTTATCATGTATTACCTTTTTAATATCATCATCCTCTGCGTCGCTTTCTTGGCGTGATTCTCTTCTTGTCCGACGTTCTCCACCCAGCCTGAGGAAAAAAAGCATTAGTGTTCACCAGAGGATGTGTATTTAGGACAGCATCTGTTCTAACATGAGAAAAACACAACTCAGAATATCTAGTCAGAAGAACCAACACTTCCAGTAAAAGTCTCCACCCTGTTCCAATGACCAGCAAGTAGCATTTTACAGGCAGAATCTACTGTTGGTAAAAATTAGTGAGAAAAAACAGTTTAAGTTTTAATACAGCTTGTACAGTGAATAAAACAGAAGAGCCCACATTACTACTATATTTGAGATTTTAGAATACCTTTGGAATTTTCTTCTTGTTTTTAATGTTTGCACTTTTCTTTTTCCGGAATCTCTGAAACGGTTACTGGTGTAAGGGGATCATGAGACAGATATAAATTCATCGAGATATAAAGGTTGGTATGACTTTTCAAATGGGAAATACTATTTAAGCTACCTAACCTACAAAACAGGTGAGGAGAGGCAGAGTGTAGGACCTGGCAACTTAGAGGAATTGAGGCTTTAACAAAGAACAACCAAGCAGTGTGTTAAATAAGTTGTTTTCAGCTTTCACTCTCAGCTTTGTGGCACAGCACTTTACCACTGGTAAAGCCGTTTCACGGTATTGATTCTGCATTAACTCAGAAATTCAAAAGTGAGCCTTGCTTTAGTCAAGAACGACCATTGCACGTAAGTGCCCACGGAATGAAGCTCATTATCATCAGTCACATCTGACAGATCTGCATCCAGATGTGAAAGCTCAAAATCTGAGTCTACTGTTACACTGGATGCATTGAATTTATTGAACAGATCTGTCATAATTCAGTTTGTGTCTACTGTAAAGCAAATCTGGGCTTCCAAGCAGATTATAATATAGCAGACTGTACACCAAGTAAAACAGAAAATTCCAAGAATCTTTGTATTGCTATATCTTTATATTATTGCTATAATCTTTATATTGCTATTAGGTATGTAAAAAACATTAAAAAATAAAAATAATTCCACCTCAGTCAATTGCTATAATCGAAATATATTTCCAACAAGTCTTGAATATGTAATCTCTGAAGAAAACAGTGAAAGGCATCAGTTATTAACAGTTACTGAATCTAAGTATTTTAAATTTGCTGTTATAAACTCCCATTCTTAAAGTGAGCCTTCTGCATCAGTTTTTCCACCTACCTACTGGATGCCCCTTCAAGATCCCTCTGTTTGGCTGGGGGTCCTCCTCCACTGTCCGAGAATCCACGCCTAAAAAGAAAACACTTGTGATCTCAGAACAAGTTAGGCTAACTCCAGGTCTACCTTCAGCCTGCACAATCAAACTGTATTTTGGCTTTGTGGTCATGATGTAACAACAAATCTTACTCTCGCTCTATCATCATTTACTGTTACTACTGCAATAAAGTGTTTAAACATACTGCCTGTGCACCAACTAATCTAAGCTTGAATTTCTGCTCTTGTTCAATTGAGCTGCTACACTCAAGAAGCTCCATTACGTTCAGGTGTTCATATTTACAGTAATTTTCAAGATACATTAAACCAGCAGTTTAACAGTGCAATTCAATAAAAAAATCCACTACCTAATACATTAAGAAAGAACTACTGAACAAAAATTAGCTTCTTCATTCTACCTGAGGCAGGGGGGGGAAAGGAATAAAAAAAGGAAAACCAAAAAAAGGAAAACCTACAACAAAACACTAGTGATTTTACCTACATGTGTTTTAAAGTTTCTGTCGACTTTAACACTTTTTATTCTTTGTGGAAAAGCTACCAGTTTCTTAATTACTGAGAGATTGATTTTGGACGATTTCAAAAAGACAAAGTCCCAGATACCACATAACACCTCTCTTAACTTTGGTGTTTCCATCTTATTCTTCAGGCTAACAGCCAAAGGGATTGGGGAAAACCACCAGCTTATACTTGTAGGCCAGCTTCAGTACCTGCTTACTAGAACAGCAGCACAACGAGCAACGGGGTCAGACGAGAAATGTAAACCACCCCAGTGCAAGGAGAGCAAACCAATGCCAGGGTAAAGTGTGGAAGAAACCCCACTGCCCGTTTCTGCAGCTTCTTACCTTAGCAATAAGCTCCCGCGCCCTCTACCTCCACCAGGGCCTGTGATGGCTAACAGTCTGTTCTGAGGGGGCCTGCAAAAGACACCGGGCGCTGTGAGTGGTCCCGGCCCCCCGGGGCGACGCAGCTCGCCCAGCCAGACCTGCTCGCGACCGCGACCGTTCCCTCATGCACCCCACGGCTGCGTGTCCCCCGCCCCCACCAGGACGGGCAGACGCCGCCAGCAAATCAGCGGGCGCGGGCGCGGGCCCGGGCCCGGGCCCGGTCCCCCCCCACCCCCGGCTCCAGCGGGGCGGGGGCGGCGGCCTGCGGGCAGCTCCTGGCCGCCCGCCCCTCAGGCCCATCACGCAACTCCCCCCCCCACGCCGGAACAACACCGCGACGCAGACCAGCCCCCTCCCCACGCCGGCCTGGCCGCTTCTCACGTCCCGTGTGTGTCCCCTCCGCCCCGCCGCACCTCACGTCATTGGGGTCCCGTCCCGTGAGCTTGCGGATGTTCTCGTCCACGTGCTTGAGGCTCTCCTTGGCTTTCTCCAGCTGCTCCTGCAGCGCGCGCACCGCCACCGCCATCCCGCCCGCAGCGCGCGGCCTAGCCGGGGCCCAGCGCAAGGCACCGCTGGGTAACGGGGAGCGGGGAGGGGGGGGAATAGCCCCGCCCACGCGTGGCGCGGCGCGGCGCGGCCCCACCACTCCGGCAGCCGCGGGCCGGGGCGGCGCAGCGCAGCCAATAGCCCCGCGGCTGTACCTTCCGACCGCCAATGACCGGGCACGAAGGGAAAAGGGTACGTCCCCCAGGAAAGGCTCGCCGCGCGCGCCCACCAATCACAGGGCCCCGGCGCAGACTGGCAGCGCGGACGACCAACTGCTTGGAAGCCTCTTGCCTACCAGCTTTACGAATCACCAAAGGCACCGCCGGAGTGACATGGCTCAGAACTAATGAGAGCTCGTGCTCCAGTTTCCCGCGGCCCAATCAGAAAGCAACTTCGAGGACGCTTATCCCCACCCACCTAGGACGCAGCCTACTTTCCTACTCGCCATGGGGCTGAGGAGCCCGTACGCGGGCGGTTCGGGCGGGCGCCAATCGCTGTTCCGCTTATAGAGGCCACTACGCCAGGCGAGCCAATAGGCGGGAACGTTACTGAGGGCGGCGCGCAGGCCGGGGCCGGCTGGCGGTGGGGGTGGCCTAAGGGGCGGCTCCGCGGGCTGAGCTGCGCCGCGCCGGCGGGCGCTCCCTTTAGTGGCTGTGAAGCTCCGTTACCGGCGTTGTTCGTGACGCCCGAGGGGCGGCGAGGTTTTTCATTGCGCTCTTCCCCGCCGGGGCAGCCGTTGGTGTGGAGAGGCTTGGGGTGAGCTCTCAGGCTGCCAACTCCCGGCGGCAGGAAATGGCGGATGAATGAGAGACGCTCTGAAGGCAATAAAAACCCTGCCCCGCCTCCCAATTTAGGCAGCAAGGGCCTAGCGCCCTCCCCCCGGGAAGAGACGTGTTTGTGCCCCAGCTCTGGCCCGCTTCCCGGCACTCGCTGGCAGAGGGCTCTGGAAAAAATCCGTCAGGTGAAAGGCCCTTTCCCGCCTCGGGAACGCCGAGCCGCGCCCCGACGGGGAGAACTGCTCAGACCGCCGCTCCGGCCCGGGCGCAGGGCTCGGGCGCCCGCCCAGCCGGAAGGGGCGGGGCGGCGGCGGGCGCCGGCGGCGGCTGCCCGGGGCGGCGGTGCCGGGAGCGGGGCAGCCCGGCGGCGGAGCGGAGATGGCGGACGAGGCGCTCTTCTTGCTGCTGCACAACGAGATGGTGGCGGGGCTGTACCGCGCCGCCGAGCAGGGCGAAGGGGTGAGTGGAGCCGGGGCCGCCCGGGGCGCCGCCCGGCAGCAGCCGGGGTAAAGCGGCGCCGGCGCCTTCTGTCTTGCAGGAGAACGGGCGCTGCACCACCAAGCTGGAGAGCATGGGCTTCCGCGTCGGGCAGGGGCTGATCGAGAGGTGAGTCCCCGCCGCTGCCACAGCCCTGGCCCCTTGCAGTGCCCCGCTTCCTGCTCCCGGGGCAGGGGGTTTGCCTCCGCGTCTGCCTGGAGAGGGCTCTCGCCCCCTCCTTCCCGGCCTGCTGGGGCCCGGAGCGTTCGTCTGCTCGCTGGAGAGCTGCTGGCTGCTTTGGGTGGACTGATGGTTATGCCGTGGATGCGTGCCTCTTGTTAGCCGTTCTGGCCTCCTCTGTTTCGGCATCTCGGTCTTGCGGGGGACCTGTGCTTGAATACCACAGGAGAGTTCTGGAGCGTGTGTTTTCCCAGTGCTTTCCGTCATGGAAGCTGAGAGTATATAGTTATGTTTAACACTTAAGACCTTTCCTAATTGTGCTTTTTGTAGACTTACTTTTGCATCTTCCCTATTTCTGGTACGTTTCACGATTGTCTTCTCTTCATAGTTTATTTCTTAAACATAATTTTATGATTGGCTACTGTATTTCAGTTTTTATAAAGCACTCTCAGCCCTTGGAACTTTGTGGGAAGCACATTGCCTCCTTGTTTCCCCAGGCTCTTTGGAGATGTACAATGACTTGCTGCACATCAAACTTCAGTGCCCTCGTTTTGAGGTTGTGTGGAGACTTGAGCTTCTGAAATCATACTTTCATTGAACAGAGTAGTGCTTTAGTGCCAGATAAAGGGAGAGAATTCTGAAATAAGAGAAAGAGGTCCCCTTTGGGGGAACAGGAACAAGTTTTAAATGTTCATTGCTATGTGTTAGTGCTTTTTCGCATATTTGAAGGACTCTTTCCAAGCAGTAGTATAGGTGTGAGCTTCTTGTTTATCTTCCATTTAGACATCTAGTTGAAGATAAAACTGATGGAGTGCTTTGCATCTTTCTGTACTGCAATTGTCTTTAATAAGCATTTAACTAAAACCATTTATTCTGTCATGTTGCAGGTATTAAGATAACACTATGTTGCTCTTAAGTTTAAAATACTTGATGAATGCAGAGTGATGCTAGAATGATACTGTACAATGGTTGGAAAACTAATGTCTCAGCCTCAAAAGTAATGTTGCATAGTACCATTTTTGTGTATTTTCTTTTTCTGTTTAATCAGTCAAGTTGTGTGTACTTTTATTATTGATATACTTCTCACTTTTCTCTTAGGTTTACAAAAGATACTGCCAGGTTCAAGGATGAATTAGATATTATGAAGTTCATTTGCAAAGATTTTTGGACAACTGTATTCAAAAAACAAATAGATAATCTAAGGACTAATCATCAGGTACTAAGGCTGTAAACTTACAAAGTCAGTAACAGTTTTGAGTTACTAGCGCAGTTTTTGTTTTTCTTGGTCTAGAATGAATTACCTGATAAGAAACCCAACATGTTTTTTATTTGTTTTGTTTAAAAAGCAGGTTCTTAAGTTTCATGTTAGCATGTAGCTTCAGAATACAGTCTAATAATTGCTTGTGATGTCTTTATTGCCACCCTGTTTGAAAATACTGAATGCTTGGAATTTCATATCTGCTGTTGTAGAGTTACAAACTGACAGGACAGTGATTGTTACAGTTAACATGTAAACAGGAACTTTTTTAAATGTATCTCCTTGTAAATTGTAGTAGAAGACTAGAGTGAGAAAGTGACATTGCTTTTTTAACATCTATTTAAATAGAATGGCTGTCTTGAAGTATTTTTTTGTTTATTATTTTGAAGAATATTTACAGTTTTTGGCAGTTGAGAGACTTTGTTGCACTCTACTAAATGTACTTGTATAACAAACAGCTGAAAAACATCCCAAATTTGTGTGACAAATTGGTGACATTGCATTGTATTTATGTCCTTTCCTATATCAACAGCCACAGTTCTTAAAGCAAGATCAAAATAATAGAAGGAACCATTTTACTAGAGTAAAAAAATCTTTTTACTTTCGAATGACTTGGTTTTCTTATGGCCATTTTCCTGTTGTATCAAAGTAGATACAAGGATTGTGCCAAATAAAATAGGTTTGATTTTTCAGTGAGCTGTTTACCAAGTAGTAACTTTAACAGATAGTGATTACCTTAAAAATCTACTTTTGAATTCAAAGAAAGCTGTAGTGTTGATCTTAGGTCTCAATCGTATATGCTGCCTAAATTTAATTTCAAGGGTTACGAAGTTCCAAAGTATCACAGTCAATAGCAAATAAATTAAAATGGCAGGTGTAGGTTAAGCTATACTGTGTTCATACTTAATTTATGAAAATGCATATTGTGGTACAGTATTGTAATGTAGAAAACACTAGACTTTTAATTTGATCATCTGCTGGGTGTTGTTGCCCATATCGCTATTAAAGAAGGAAATTCTCACTGAGTTTGAGAATAAGAATCGAGAATTGCATACCAAATGAAGATTAAGGTTTGAATGTAAAAATCAGCATGCATTTAATATATTAACAAAGACTTTCTAATATGGAACTATTGTTTCTGAGCACTGGAAGGACTCTTCCAAAAACAATGTCAGTAAACTTTTTTTAGGGGTAACTGATGATATTATCTAGGGGTTTTGTTGTTAGCTGACAATTAAGTTTCTTGTTTTGAGATTTTTCATAAGTAAATAATACAATTTAAACTTAAATTTTACATTAAGGCATTTGTGATTTAATTTTTCAACCTGAGGACGTTGATACTGTATCTAAGATATTGATTACATGTTACTGCATAGTCAACTAAAAAACTTTTTTTTTTTTTTAAAAAAACAGGGTATTTATGTCCTTCAAGACAACAAATTTCGTCTCCTGACACAAATGTCTGCAGGAAAGCAGTATTTAGAACATGCACCAAAGGTACCCTTCAATTTTATCCTTGGGATCTACCAGTTTGGTTTTAATTATCTTAATCTATAATCAAATTTTGTAATTGAATGGATGCAAACTCTTCAAAGGGGCAGCTGAAGTATAGTCTCCAAAACCTGTGCTTTTTAGAAATGCACCTTGTTTCGGAACAGTGGATTTGATTTATGGTTTGAGAAATGGTCGTAGTTGTTGTGAAACTTGCTGTTATCATGTCTGAGTTACTTGTGGTAGGAGCTGGTCGGCCACTGTCTGCCACTGTCATGTAAATTCTTTCTCTTTAGAAAGCATGTGCTTTCAGAAGCTTCTTTAAAATTTCCAAAACACGTTTGGAAGATGATATTTGTTACCTAGAACAAGCTTCTGAAATTATATGAAGGTTTGGAAAGACCTTCCACCAGTTAAAAATAGTTTTGAGTGTAGATGCTGAGTTAGGGTGGTAGTTTAGGTAAGTAAAATCAGTGCCTCTGCAGAACCTCTTGTAAAGCATTTTGGTTCAGGTGGATGTAAGAAATGGGGCATTCAGGTCCGTTTTTTGGTTTATTCTTGATCATCTTAGTCATCAAAGTTAAAGGCTACCGTTCTTGGGATTTTTTTTGGTGTTTGCTGAGAAGCTTCTTCTGTTTTGCAACATATATTCTAAATATCTGCAGGCCCTCATATCCTAAGATGCAGCCTGTGCAAGAAATGCTGCCTTGGACTGTTTTTCCTTTGTTGATTGTAATACCAGTTGCTAATTTCAGCCAAGTCCTGGGAGTAATTATTTTAAGGATGCTAAGTTCCTACAGGTTTAATGGAAATAGAAACAAGTGACTCAAGATAGCGCCTCTAACAAGAGAAATCTATATTGCGAGCTCCACTGTACCAAATATTGGAGCTTTCATCTATTAAAGACATGATGAAGTCTCTCAAGCATGGTAGCAAACCCTCCATAGTTTTATGTTGTCCAAGTTTTAAGTCTTGTTCTTGAGTACGTAGTTTCAAGTTTAACTTTGTGTTTAGTATTTAGCATTTACCTGTGGACTAATCAGAGGAGGCCTATCGAATTTGGGAATAAAGAGTATTGTAACAGCTGAAGTTTCATCAATGCCTGCATGTAAGTAGTTCTTGAAGTATTCAATTATTAGCTCACTTGGTAACTTTCCTTATTGGCTTCATCACTGTATAAGCATTTATCAATGTGGGATTATTTTGAAGCTGCTGGTCCATAGGAGTCAGTGTGAGAGAGAAAGTCATTAAGAAAGTTAGAAGGTGAATTCCATGGTTAACTACCCAAGCTGCTCAAGATGGATTTAAAAATTTCCAGACTTCACACAAATTTTAAATTTTGCCGATGAAACTGTTGTGATGAGGGACATAGGTCAACTTAAAGAAAAAAAAAAAACAAAAAACAAGAGAAGAAAGAAAAAGCTGTTCAGCTGGAGTTAAATTTAAATGCTAAATTTAAATAATGGCTAGATTGTTCACGATTAAACTGTAACATTGAAGTTTTCCTTACTATTTTTTCTAACAAAGTGATTACAAAAAATAACTATTTGGAAAAATAACTCTAATGGTGATACTTTGATCTGACTTTGCTTTTTCTTTGCAGGTAAATTCCAGGTGATGATACAGAAGATGTAGAACACATTCAAATCTGGGTATCTCCCTTAAAAATCCTTTGTGGATTCAGCTTTGTACATAGCTTGTAAATTATAGCAGCGTGCAGCACAATTCCAAAATACATAATAAATGTTCATCAAAATAACTTAATGCTATCCGTGTATCTTGGTATGAAATTTATTCTGTAGCAAGGTATTAATGTCCACATGGTTAAAACTGTATGCTCAAAAGCTTTCTGCAAAATATTTCAATTACCAAAACAGCACATATGGAAGACCAGAGGCACATTCTGAGAACAGAGTAACAGCCTGACCAAGAATAAATTGGAGTAAGGAACTGATGTGTTTTGTGTCAGATAACATGAATGCCCCACTGCTGCCTTTCCCTACTCACTGAACTGTGAGGCAGCCATTGCTTTTGTGTTGTTCTGAGGAAGCCATTAGCTCGTGAACCAACAGCCTCGTTAAGGGTGCTTAGGGGAGGCTTAGTTCCTGTGTAGGAATTATATGGAGTGGTAGAAAAGATAATTTATTTCTAAGTAGCTAAACAGTTTCTCCTACCTCCCTAAAATTATCAGTTGTTTTTTTGTCAGAATAATTTTACAGCTAAGGTCATCTATGCTGGCCAAAGGAGGAAAACTGTTTTAGCTTGTTGTGCATAAACTCAGTATTAATATAATTGTTTTTAATTGCTAGCTACAGCTCACTTGTGTAATGAGTGTGTGCAGGAGGGTGATTAGGCCCGCAAGAAGTTACAAAGGCATCACCAAGACTCTTGAGGACATGGGGGTTTACTAGATACTACTTGTTACAAGTTTTGCATAACAATATGTATCTTGCTGTAGGTAACCATGAAAACATCTTTTTGAAACTTTGAGTTTTGCCGAAAGACTTTTCTGTTGGCAAGTTCAAGCCTTATGCTTTCAAATGAATGAGGACAGAAACTTACCGTGTTTATTCAGAAGTGCGAGAATGCCTTGTGATAGTGGTTTGGTTTCTACTTTGAGACCAGAAAATAACAGGCTAACTAGAAAAGCTAACATGTTAAAACAGCACCTTTCAATTGTTGTAACCGCTCCCCTGGTTGGGAAAAGGGTATGTTGTCTAGTTGCATGGTGGGCAAGAATAGTGGAAGCTGTTCTCCCCTAAGCTCTAGGGAAGGTCTTAAGTTTGTAATAGATCAAGCCTTTTCTAGATAGCTATTACAAGCTAGCAAGCTATAGATTCTAAATGTGATAACCAGGGGTTTATTACACTTGAGCTTAAGAAGTGACCAAATTCTGATCTTTTCAGGTACTGTGAATGCTAGTTCAGGTTTGTTGTAGCTGAATAACTCGACAGTTCTAGGAAACATCTAGAGCAGAACTTGAAGTACCAGAAAGCTGTCCCACTGTGTGTAGAACTAGCAAAGATGAAAGTAACTACAGGAGTTAGAGCAGTTGGTGGGGATCAGCTGTTTGACTGGGAATGCTGGGTTCTCATACTGGTAGTTTGCAGGAAGGCTGGGGTGGTTGTTCACCTTGAACTCAGATTTGCTTGAAACTAGTGCTAGGGAATTAGCTAATTAAGGATTCTTGTATGTCATGGGTTCTCCAGTTGCCCACTCATCCTGCTTTAAACATGCTGAAAATGTTACTAAACATAACTTGTACTATATGTCTATTCAAAGGACATTCCAGTGTCATCACATTTTAGGAATCTGCTCTGTGGTAGACGTTCAGTATCAACACATACAGAACCACCATTCCTTCCAACTCCAGAATTAAAACTAGTAGTTATTGTAATTCACTTTTTCACTTGACAGTTAAGACTGCCATTCCACATGCAAAAGTGCCAATCAGTCACATATACTAAAGGTTTATCAATAACTGGTTGGGTTTAATGATTATGATTAATAGTGAGGGGAGGGACTTACAGTCTATAATAGACAGAGATGTCAGTTAATACCATGTATCAGTTTGCTGCTGTCAGCAGAATTGTTCTTTTAACAGGCATTTTTAATTATTGAAGATAATTAGAATGAGGGAGTCATGTATGTACCAAACAGACGCTGAGACTCTTGGTGAAGCACTTCATGTTAAATAGACAAATAGGTGAGCTAACATATGTCAAGATACCATACAGAAAATACATTTGTTCATTCTATGTCATCAATGTTTCTATTAAATCAGGTGTGCAATTTTCACTGGTTTCTGCAACTGTTTACTAAGAAACAGTATTACTACTCAGGAAATAGTAATGTTTTTGGTTTAGTAAAAATAATTGTTTCAGTAACTTCTTGGCTGTAGTTTAATTGTTTAGCAGTGCTTCAGCTCAGGAACCAAAGCTTGAAAAAACACATTCAGTCCTTGTGTAAATTTCTATAGTAAGGTTGCTGTTAAATAGTATGAAGAATGAGAAAAGTCACAATGTTTAAGTACACTCTTTAAAATGCTTCAGTTTTATTAAAAAAACGCTCTCAGGAGGTGTGTGTTAAAGAACAATCAGTTGTAATGTAGCCTTAGACTTCACCTAATAGCAGAGTCCACATGATTACTCAGTTGGTAGATGACAGAAATTTCTAACCAAGAACACAGTTTACAGAGACAGTAGTGTGAGATGATGCCAGACACTTCACTGACCATTTCACAGTGATGGTGATATTGGAGACATTGACAGTCTCATGCTAAACTCAGTTTAAGTTATTTATAGCTGTCCCAAATGCATTACCAGGAGGGTGTTCTGAACAGCCTGTATAGTACTTCAGGTCTGAACCATGCAGTGTCATGCTGTTAACTCTGATAATGCCCTTTCTACTATGGCAATGCAAAATGCTTGATATTCTCAAACCAGTCTAGGAAGGCTCATCAGCCAAGTCACGTTGATCGAAGTACCTAGTGGAGAGAATCGGAATACCGTAAGAAACCTCTAATGCAACATACTCCTTACTTTCTAGGTGGTCTTTTAGTGTTTCTATCATTAATTATAACTTTCCAGTTCAAGGGGCTCATCTGAGGAAACCAATAAATTTACTTACTCTTAGGTTTATCTTAAATCCTCTTAGCTAAGTATATTTGCTACATAGGCCCAAGTTACTTTGACTGACTTCCACTTTAAAAGAATCTAGGTTAGGCCAAGAGCAATCACACATTTATTCTGGACATACTTTACTGGTGTAGGTATGCAAGTCAAATTACCTGCTAACTAAGCAGATTATCAAATTCAGAGCTGATATTTGCTCTTCATTCTTGTTCTCCTGGAAGAGAAATAAATCTTAGAACAGTTTTGTTGTTACCTGTGTCAAATAGAAAAGCTGTTATATGCCATGTTACATGCTTGCAGTCTTCCCTTAATTCTTGAGCAAACTTGGGACATGCAGAATTACTTACCAGGACTTCAAGAACTGAAAAATCATCCCCCTAATAATTTGCCAAGTCCTTTGCACAATGCTGTATTAAATCTTACCTCTAGTATTCTGACTTCTGAGCATCGTCTTGCCAGCTGTCGAATAAGGGAGTGAGCTTCAGGTAGCAAAGGTTTTTCAAGGCATGCCAACAGTGCATAAAGCCATCTACCCTGTGTTGAATTCAAATAACAAATTTTTAATTATGAGCATTTCCTTGAAGTTTCATGCCATTCTTGTTATATAGAACAGGCCTAGCGTGGAGGTCTCAAATGAAATTGCATTTAAGAGCTACTGCTAGAATTGAAAAGTTTGAAAGCCAGATTAGACACTATGCAGTAGAATTTTGTGCCTCTGGATAAGGTGCTTGTGAGCAGTACTCCTGGATTTCGTGATAATTTTTGTAATACTGTCTAAGATAGAAATTAATACAGCTTACACTATTTAAGTCTGAGGGAAGGATTATTTTAGTAATATCTAAAGATTATTAATTACCTATTTATTTTTAACTTCACAACCTGTGGAAAAACATTCCGGGAGAGTGAATGTACCAAGTCTGATCTCTGTGGAATTAATGCTCTTAGATCAGCTTTAAGATTTGCACCACTGTGAAAACACGTCCTTTCCATTTTACTTCACTGAATTCTTACAAACGTAACTTCTGCTACCACTCTAACCTTTTAAATTCCAGTGTCTAGTGGCTTTCATTATAAGAATAAACTAACAGTCAATGTGCACATTCTCTGCAGCATATTGGTTAAAAAAGGAAAGTCGTACACAAAATGACAGAACATGAAAAGCCTTTGACTCAAAAGCAGCGAAACTGTGTTTAGTATTATGGAAGTAATTTTTTGTTACTGTCATGCGTCATGGTACTGAATGAGATGAGCTGCATCCACCAAGGTCTTTTGTAGATGCTACTGCGTTGTGGTCAAACTCCATGCTAACATACCCCGTCAATCAGAATTTTTTCCCGAGTTTGATTTGTCTCCACACTACTGCAGCTAAGCTTTCTGGTCTGGGCTGCACGTGAAAAGATTAAACATGTCTTCGGCAGCACACTGTTGTGCATCTCCAAACTAAAAGGGAGGTGTCAGTAAATAGCGTGCAGCACCCTGACAGGTTAAACTGGACAGAACCAAAGCTGCTGCAGTCTGACCCTCTTCTCTCCATAGTGCCAATACTCACCCAACCTTGTAGTTTAAGTTAGTGTGGGGAGAAATAAAACGGGAGGGAGTTTTGGCAGCATCTGACAGATCTGTAACTGTTTTGTAATTTGCCTTCCAAAAAGTTCTGTGAATACTCATTTTAGTATCTAATCAAGACAGTTTTGAAAGTAGACGCATGTATCATATTCAGTTAGAGAACTCTTTAGAAATTAAAATCATTGAGCAATGAATCCCCTGTCTAATGCATTCATGTGCAAGTAGTTAGAATAAATTAAAAATTACCAGTTCTGGAGTAAATCTTTTCTCTCCAAACCAGCTTATCAGGTGTTCTAAGACACTGGTTACTGTTGCCTTCAAAAGAGGAACAGAAAGAGACAATACAATACCTGCAATGTTTTGTTTTGCCGTCCTTCTACCCAAAGGATTATATTACATAAAAAGCAACGTGTTTTTTAAAAAAATACACACATGTATTTCTACTCCACTGTGATACTATATGGTATTTATTCCAGGTTGAAGTTACATATAAGGGTAAAGTAAGTGCTAAAGCACCAGTTCCTGGAAAGAACTTTATATAAAATGAAGTAATTTTCTG